ACAGCAAGTATAAACTAATGAATTTTATCAAAAATTTTTGTAGTCAATACCATCAAAATTACAAAATGGGAAATTAGAGTTTTGGCTGAAGATTGTGTTTACAGGACCTAAGAACTCAATGATTGGGATCATAGATACCATTCATCAATCCCTCCATGAATTCGTTCTCCTCTCTTGGAAAGAAATCTCGTAGACTGATTTAGCAGGAAATATAGCTTAGCTTAGTCACTCTTATCATAGCAGGAAATGTTCTACCTATCATAGAGTTGTTCTTGGCTTGTGCATTCTTATCATAGCTGCAAATATTCTACCAAATATAGAGTTGAGTGTCTATTCTTAACATTCTACTAGCGAATTTCTTTGTTACTCAATCCGTTGGTGGTAATGGATGAGTTACTAAGTTTCCGTTGTTCCATGTGGCAACGTGACGTCCTGCAAGAACGAGGAAATCTTTTAGAGCTTGTGGATCCAAGTCTTGGTTCAAACTACAGTACAGATGAAGCACTGAGGATGTTAAATTTGGCGTTATGATGTACTAATCCATCTCCTACTTTACAGCCATCCATGTCTTCTGCAGTGAGTATGCTCGAAGGCAGAATTGCAGTTCAGGCACCACTAATCAAATGCACCTCATTGAATGAGGACATTAGGGTCAAGCCCTTGAGAAATTATCACAAGACAGTCAAATCCATGTTTCTAAACTCTCCATTGACAGTCAGTTCGCTCGGACTACTTCAACAGATGACGGACCATGGACTGACAGACCAGTGTCTCTTCCTAGTGAGAATGAAATGCGCAATTTTTCTTCATCTAACAAGCTTCTTTCGTGGTGTTGATGATGTCGAACTTTGAGTAACTTATGAGGATGAGATTTAGGATTGCAGGATCGCAAACTTTTATTATTTAGTGCCATACAGATTCTGTCATTGACATTTTTTTAGGTACCTTTGGAGTTCCTGTGCTCTTTGTAACAAAATTCATATTCTTTCTTTCAGTCTGAGTATGTATGTGTTCATCAATTTTCTCCTTGCAATGTATCTGAATCACCGCACGTCCTGAAACCTATGGCACTAAAACCCACTTCCATTTTGTTAAGCACAAAATGACTGGCCTATATCCAAAATAATCCCACCCAAAATCAAGGTTCTTAATTGCTACTCCAATCCTGGTTTCATAGCAGAGTACCTCCATCCGCAGGACTCCTAGAGCCGGAAAAAAAAAAGAAGGCTGCTCAGAAACTCAAGGAACAACTGGACTTGGAATTCGGGCAGTTCCAAATCAATCGTAATTAGATACGTGTGCCAATCCCAGGTTATGGCCTGACACCCAATTGCGGTATTGCAAAAATATTTATTTTAGAACTGTAATATGCTTTAGATTCCTATGAGACCTGCCAGGCTCGTCGTGTGGTATGGAGCATGGGGGCTGGACAGTCCAAAACTTATCAGCTAGTGTTGAGATGTGTGTCACTCTGCAACGTAATTTATCCTGAATTTCTGAATTGAAGTCGATCAGAGAATCCCAACCATCAGATAAGAAACCAATCTTGGTTAATGAGCCAACCAATCTGGACTGTCCAATGACCATCTAATTATCACCCGAAGAAGATTGAGGTCCTTCCACCTAAGCAAATTCTGTTGACTATAAAAGTGGCCTCATGCAGCATACCCGTTGATTCATTTCTAACAGGATTTTCCCTCGTCACTTTTATTTCATTTTCATTATTTAGATCAAATACAAAGACTCTTTCATTTCATTACTTCTTTGGAGAAACAATCAATGGATGACTCGAACATTCAAGAAAATATTGATGACATTGATGGTAATCATGGGACGTTCAAAGGTCCTAGTGATTCATTTGGATATGTCAATGAACGTGGTCGAGAATCAGACAACTTTTTCATCAACTTGATGAGGCATTCTTTGCTGCTTGGAGCTGAAAAATTGTTGATGGCCCGAAAGTCACCAGGACCATTTCTATCCTCTCAACTGGAGTCGTGCAGTATTAACGAGGACAAGAATGACTTAGTCAGGAAATGGAAAGGAAAAGGTGCCATGCAATTGGATGAAAAGGTACGTTGGAAGTCCGAGTGCTCTCCGCTTCAATCAAGTTCAAGTTCAAGTTCATCAAATCCGGGAATTGAAAGCAGTAACATGTATGTTCAATTTCCAAAGATGATTGAATGTCCTTCGAGTTTCTATAACAACTTTCCACTGGATTTTGTAGCTTTTCTAAGAATCCTGACAGTACTGATACTTGAACTCGGTGGTGCTCAACTTAGTTTGTTCACAAGCGTCTTCACATTACCTATTCAGATATTCAACTTTTGGCTCACAATGCTAACGTTGCCATTTCGTGCTCTAGCTCTAACTAGAGAGCATTTAATGAAAAAGCTGTTGACATTGCGGAGTTACTTTTGGTTTAGTTTGATGTACTTTATATGTGATCGGTTGAAGTTGCAACAGTCAATGCTGAAAGTGGCTGTAAGATTTTGTTGGGCATTTTTCTGGTCAGTTTACGTGTATCTGATCCTGGTTGGATTGCTAATCATGGGATTCGTGATTGGCGGCATAACCATGAGACATTTGGTCGTAGAATCCATACAGACAACTGAAAATCTGAACTTTGACTACACCACAAGTAGTCCGGTTGCTTTTGTTCCCGTTACATCCTCTCCTGTCACTGGTGCGTCCCCTGGCTTGATTTCTGAAGACAGGATGCTGTTTTCCAAGAGTGCTGGAGGGCGCACCATCCCTTACAATCACAAGCTACAGCTTACTGTGTTGCTGACAATGCCCGAGTCAGAGTACAACAGAAACCTTGGGATATTCCAGGTATGACGACTTATGTAATATAGGCAATTGATTCTATTGACAATGCATGAATAGTTTTGGCTATTGTTGCCTTCTAAGACAAAAAATTATTTGTCTAAGTACGGAACAAAAATGATGATTTCCCTTATGGATTTGACTGCTTGCTTTTACGTCTCATTGTTCAGAACAAGGTAAGTTTACCTGTTAGTAGATACATTCATTGCATTGACACAAAAATAGAATTATCTCTTCAGTTAAGTAAGATCTGCTGCTCATACATCTGCCATATTGTAACGACAAAGCTAGGTGACTCTCAAAGTTCTGAAGAAGTTGAACCAGAAAATTGTGCAAACTTCTCCGCCCAGAATGTCCCTTTCATGGGGGTTATATAAATACTTATGGTTCTCAGCTTTGTTAATGTAGGTGAGGGTAGAGTGCTTGTCTTCAGAAGGTAAGGTGACTGCAAGTTCAAGCTATCCCACCATGCTACAATTCAAAAGTCAACCAATAAGATTTGTTGGGACCATATTTAAAAGTCCCCTTCTTCTTGCTGGTTTTCAATCAGAAATCCAACACTTGAAAATAGGCGTCATGGACTTTACAGAGGGATATGAGCCAACTGCTTGCTTTAAGGTGATAATTGAACAGAGAGCAGAATATGAAGCAGGCTTTGGTATCCCAGAAATATATGCTGCATCACTGCACATCGAATCTGAGCTTCCCCAGATCAAAAGGATGATATGGTATTGGAGGAGATCTGTATTTGTATGGATCAGCATTATAACATTCCTGACCGAGTTAATTATTGCTCTGATCTTTTGTCGGCCAGTTATTTTTCCGGGAAGATCAACAATAAAGGTGGTCGGTGCTAGAAGTAAAGTCTCTCATGGTATAAAAGCATTTGAGCCATTGGCTGTCTCGGAAAGAAGTACCACCACCACTACCACTTCTTGTTGAACCTGCTACTTTGCTTCTGATAGTTACATCATAGTTTTTCTGATGTATTGACTGCTTTGTACCACTGAAATCTTTCCAGAAATATTTAAATGCATCGTGGGAAACGCACTTTTTATGTACAGTAGCATTACGGGACAGGCTTATCTAACTCTTCCAAGCGTACCCTTTGCTGTTTGTGGAGTGAAACAACAAATTGGTGGGACCACTTGCCATTAAGTCACTTTGACTAAAAGGCAAAGACAATCAGAAGGGTATAACTTCCGATGATGTGTTGTGGCTGGGTCCATCAGAATTGGTTAGTGCAATCTTGACTTGTCAATAGAAGGGTATAACTGGAAAATAATTGTAAAAGTGATTTGACTTTTTCAAAGTGACTCAAATTTTGGGACAAGTAAAAAGTGGAAATATGACATTAACAATGGGACGGGGAGGGAGTATCACTTTTTGCAGGCCACAGGGCAAATCATGTCTTACGTACATTCTTTTTCTTTCAAGAAGGATTGTAATACTCGTCCTTACTGTGCCTACTTAACCGTTGTCTCCTACATTCGAACGTACAGTCCTCAGTTACTGTTCTTCTGCTCCCTCAAATTAAATGCAGCCTCAGTTGAACCCTTACTGATATGTCGTTGGAAAAGGAAAGGAAGTTCATGTCCTTGCAAAGCCATTTCTGTCATAGATTTATTGTCAAATGAAGAAAGCAAGTCATGATATATATATATATATTTCTCCTCCCGGTCTTGGTTTTTCTACGTACAATGTGTAACAATTGGAAACAAAATCTTGTAGATTAAGTAGCAAATTAGACTTCATAAGATCGCCATCCCTGAATGTTCAACTGAATATTGCTATAAGAATAGTTAAGAAGCTTTTCCTATGCCCACTGGATAAGATTTTTTTCAGTCAGAACATGAGAGCAGGAGGATTGCAGCAGCCAGCTACTGCTTTTGTCATTGTACTTTTGTCCATGGATTGATGGAAAATATGAATGATACAAATTTCTCTTTTCTTCGTCATTAAGATCAATTATAGGAAATGGTTGCATTTCTTATGAGCATACCCCGATAGCAAGGAGAAAAGGAAAAAAAAAAGTTTTTTTAATTTTTCCAAACACAAGGAAAACTAACCTTCCAAGCAGACCCCAAAGCATACAACTTTACCTACAATAATTGAAAACAAGAAATCTGAAAGTTCTCGAGCCATCATCTCCATATCAACAAGGAGAAACATACAAAGTAATAAACACATTAGGATGAAGGTCAATCTTGGCATTCCAAAGGACAATCATGCACAATGAGATATATACAATTTTCTACACAAATATTTATTCCTGTATTTCCTCCTCCTAATTCTTTTTTTTTCTTTTTCTTCTTTGGCTCTTTTAAAGAGGGGTCAAGGAGAGAGAGGGGGCGGGGGGGGTTAGGGCATTGTGATGAGGCTGTGCTTCTAGAAGAAAGGACAATCCGGAGTCTGTACAAAACTTCGATAAACCTATCAGAAACTTTACAACTCGATTCCACTATTCAACTGAACAGAGAAGGTCGGCCTGCAAACATCACCCAAAGGAGTTTCAACTTTGACAACTATCCCTGAGCTGCCAACGTTTCCATTCCACTTGGACCTGCCAAGCTACATAGAGGATGAAAAGAATTTTAAGTCAGAGGAGTAATTATGGAATACAAGGAGAAAACGGAAAGCAGAATCTAGTGACGGTAAAACAATCTGCTTCATTAGCAAACACCATATCTAGTGACGTTCTTAAAGCAAACAGCAAAAACAAGCATCTTTTAAAAGATAACAACACTGCTGCAGTATGTCTTATTATTCAGCATAGCAAGCCTGCGCTGTTCACAGGGATCTCACGGCAGAAATTATAGAGTACAAGAGTTCAAATTTTGGCTTGGATGCAAGAAAATTCAAATCCAAAAAGAAGAACAGATAGATTCCTTAAAACTAAATGATATATTTGGTCATGAGCTCCGAAAATTTTTGAGGTAAAAACTTTAAATTCTATCCTCAATAGACTCCAAAACTAGATGTGTGCTCTCTAATATGATTGCACTTAGCTAAGCACACATCAGTCAATTTCCTCAGTCACGCTCTAATTCACAGGTCCCCTCTTCCTAACACAAGCCTCAGCCCATTACCAATTACTCTTAAGCTATAGAAAACCTATCAAGCGTCAACAATGTAATACAAGAAAGCCAAAGTTTATATGTAAAATAGGGACAACTTACAGAAACTGATGCAAATGCAGAAGGACGATCAACAAGTGCGCAGCCACAGATGAGGCTTAGTTCCTCCTTCAGACTATGTGTAAATTCCGCTCGCAATCCAGGATTGCTTCCACCAAATGTAGGGCACAAACTGTACATTTGGCATTTTATGAATAGGCAAAAAAAAAAAAATTTCACAAACCATTCTTGCATGTTAAATATTGAATGAACCAAAAATAAATAGGAACCAGAAAAGAACATATCCATAAGTTAAATAACAAGAATGTAATTTTGTCAATATCCCAATGACAGTGAAAATTTTCACTCAAAACATACATAGAGCTAGGCACAAGAAGTGTAGTAGATAAAAATTTACCTGAACTGGATGGTTGGTCTGACCATGAGCCCAGATCTCTTCCAAGCTAAAGACTGTGCCAGGCCCAGGGAGAATGACTTATCAGGCCACTGCACCATAGGTGTAATGCATGTCCCCAGCTTATTCTGGATAAATCCAACCATTTATTAGCTTCCTAGACCAAGCTGTAACTTGGCTAAGTTCCAAAAGAGAGGATTATATTCAAACAGCAAAAGCTTGTCCAGGCATTTTCTACTCTCACCAACTCACCTTACAAGAGAAACTGAACCTCATCTCTCCTGGATATTGACCCTGAGCTTGAAGAAGACCTCCACAAAGAGGCAGAAAAGCACTGGTAGATATGCCCTCGCCAGATATATAGGTTATTTGGCCATTCGGAAACTGTAAGTCCATGAATGACTATAGAGAGAGAGAGAGAGACAAAAAGTCAATAAGCTAATCTGCAGAAAGAAAACCTATTTCTTGAAATACTGGAAGTGCATCATGCAGAAATATTTGCACCAGAGGTGCAGTTAATACCCATCAATCAAGCTGCATGGAAAATGAAGCAAGATAGTTGCATTTTGAGAACAAGCAATAATACTTGGTCCTTACTTCTCCTTCTAGAGCTCAGATTTCAGTTTCCCGAGTTAAAAGCAAAAATGAGAGAATGATATTAACAGACTGAAAAAGACAAGGAAAGCACATTCATGAACTTTTGGTACGAGCACTCTTTTAAATTTTTCATAATATTCAGCTTTCTCCCTTCTTCATATCTTCCATGGGACGCATTTGACAGTACCAATTAATTATACCAGCCAAAGTGAGCCAGATACAGAATAGTTAAAGAGTATGACACAAATTACAGAATCATACTTACACAGGCCAAAGGATTGAGACATATCATTGACATCAAGAGCCACCTCCTATGCTTAGACCACATCGCTGGACATAGTGAATGCATTCCATTCTGCCCATAGCCGATAAGAAACCAACTTAATTTAGGTAAAACCAGAAAAAAAAAAAGGCAAAGCTTAAAGAGCATATGAAGCAGATAAAGTCCAACTGAAGTGCAAAAAACAATTTCATTAAAACACACAGAGATAATTAGAAGGCAAAATTTAAAGTCTTATTAAAGATGATTCACATGAAAGTTAATACGAGGAACGTCTAATAGTAAAACAACTGTGAAGACAAGTTGGTTAGATAACAAGCAAATCGAGATGCGCTATACAAGTTAAATATCAGCTTCAAATTTCCATTAAAGAAAGTTGGCCACTACTGAGAACGCACAATGAGCTGAAGCAATATGCACACTCCCATCCTTCCCTGCCCCACCAATCCTCTCTCTTGCACACAAAAATAGACATACACAGCAAATAAGGAGCATCACATCAAGAGATGAACAGCATCTCCAAACAAAGTTTAATTTTACCTTCCATACACGTTCTACATAACTGCATGAAGTTATCAAAAGGTCAAACATTCTATAACTGCATAAAGTAATCATCTTTACACTTTACATATAAACTACAAGTCATAAATGGGAAGCAAGCTTTAGAACATTTGCCAAAATTCCCCATTAAACAGCTCTTAAGTAGACAGAATAGACAACAATGCAACCACGTTAAAAAGCTTATCAACTGCAAACATGTGATAGAAATAAATTTTAGAGGTTGATCCAACATCTATGACATCATGGTGGCAACTGATTTTAGATGTTGATCACAACATCTAAAACTTCCTGTTCAGGTCCTGCAACATTAATTTTGCTCTTGCAAGGAAACCAGACTTTAATCCATATACAACAGAATGTACAAAGATATTAAACTTACCTTCCTGTCATAGCCATACCAAAGCAAGTGTTGCTTTGACAAGTGAACTGGCAAAAGAAGTGTTGAATCACGAACAAAAAGAACTGGACCGAGCTGGACGAGGAACAGCGAATTATCGTTCCGAGATGTAGAACTACTTTGTGATGCCTCAACTCTCCACAAGTCCCCCCTCGCCACCAAAGAGCTTTCTACACTTCGTGTCCTACTTTCATATGTCGACGTAACATTAATGGTACCCTACATAAAATAATTTGCCCATCAAACAGAGTAAATGGAATGGAATCATACATATCAACTCAGTTTTGTTTTACAATTTTGGTCTCATTGTGACAAGAAACAAGGTTCCAAACCTATTATAACCTACCTAAGAAAAATCAGAGTCTAGAATCTGGCTTGTAGGAATATAGAGAAAAAGCTAAAATAAAACTGAATGTCTTTTGACCTGAATGTCTCGAAGGAATATATACATAAAAAGCTAAAATATGACAGATTCAGGTTAACAAGCTAAAATAAAACTGAATGTCTTTTGACCTGTATCAATATCACAGATTCAGGCTTTTATTTTTCCCATTTTTGTCTTTCAACAACTGCAATCACCGTATCGTTGATGTATGTTAGAATGTAAATATGAAAGCAGCCACATCACAAGCAATGGCGTTCAAGCATCACATTTTTGTCAGATTACCATTAAAGATTGGCATTAATTAGCCATTTAGAATCCACTAAATGACCCAATAATGAGCTAACCACAAACTGCCAGATAACAAAGCTGAACAATTCAAGGACAGCCTCGCAAGAGAGAGTTATTTATCAATAAATTTGTGTCCTTTTCTATAATAAAGAGAGCTATGCCACAAGCAAGTTACATAATTAGATTTCTCTAAGCTAGAGCACCGAAATAAACATCATCTTAGTTATATTAAGAGTCAAAAACTTATGCTCCATTAGATTTATCTCAATCAAATGTTACATACTTGTCAACTACAAGAACAAAGACTTAGGTTTTGTTCAATGTGCTGATAGGCACAGAAAAGACAATATGCCCTAAAGTACAATATAAAGCACTTGTGTATATTTTTAACGATAAAGTCATCCCACTGAACACAATTACCCAAAACTCCTGTTTACATGCTACAGTTGAGCTCAATCTGTTCAGAAATTAAATTGGATTCATTAATTACAGGCTTGGCATGCACTATAGTATTCTATAAACACTTGTAACTCTTTTATCTGTTCAAGTTGTACCTGTGATCTACCAAAGAGTTTTGATGCCTTCACATTAAGACCAGCATTTTCTTCATCTGTAGACCCCTCAGCAACCAGTTTAGTTTCCGTGAACCCGTAGTCCCTAAACCGTTTGGCCACTGATGCCAAATCTTCTTGTAAACTAATACCCATATCATTCCTCTGGCTATTAGCCTCTGTCTGCAATGACACCACCACATTCTCTTCATGCCGAAATGGGACTGGCAACCTCCTGAAAAACTGTTGAACCATGCCGTTAACACAAGCACCAAAATCCACCCCAGCCTGACCTATCCTATTCCCAATATCGAAAATCGCAGAAACCCCATTAATGGCTGAATTGTCCACAGCAAGTCCAAAATCCCTTTTCACAAAATTCTGAGCTGCAAACTCCATATCAAAAAGCTTAGGCGGCTGCGAATTTGGCCATGGAAATGACGGCGGAGTGATATGAGACTGTATCAAGCCAGTAAAACCCTGAGCTAACCTATCAGCTAAATCCTGACCATGCCTTTGAACCTCTTCCCATGCATCGAATGATCTCTCCACGGACATCATTTCCGCAGTTCAAAATATCCAGTTACTTATAACCTAATAATTCACCAAACAGATTATATAGCTAAAAACCAAACCTCCGCCAATACTTCAGCAACCCAAAATTATTTAACCGAAACGAACAAATCATAATTCTCACACTCAGATCAGTATCCCAAAACCAACTAAATAAGCCAAAATCCTAAATTTCGAATACCAGCCGCAGAGCTGAGCCAAGGATATCCGATTCACAGCTTAGAACTGGAACAAATGCAAAAGAACCCAGAATTCTTTTAGCTCGCTGGGTATTAATTCCTACTCTCGGATTGGAAAATTAGGGTTTCAGACTAAAACTAGGGTATAGATTTCTTCACTTTTCGGGTAGCTTGCCGAGCTGGAAAAAATTGTGTGCAGTAAAAATAATTTTGCGAATTGGATAATTTTTTTTTAAGAGGAACGAGAATCGAGGAAGAGAGAGGTTTCCAAATCGATCCAAATGCTGAAGATTTGAAGATAAGAGCTGTGAGCCTGTGACGACTGACGAGTTCAAGACTGTTAACTGATTTTTTTTTTTTTTCTGAGGAACGCTTTATTTTGGGATTGTGTTTATCAGTATTTATTTTTATTATTTTGGATATGCTCCTCTTTCATGCCACGTTGGTGGTGATCCTCGCTTGCAGTTCTAGAGTCTCGAGAAGAGAGATTTGTGAGATATCATTATTTATTTTTTTATTTTTTTCAACTGTATCAAAGATATTGATGATATAAATGAATGACTTTTGACAAAAAATAATAATAATAAGATTTCGTTTTCTATTGAGAGCGAAGGTTTGGCGTTTGGGCCCAGAAGGTCAAAGGACCTAATGGCCAATTTCCCACCTTTTTATTATTTTTCTTTCCTCTTTTTTTTGGGATATTTTGTCTTGTTTTTGTCGAGGAGACGTGGAGGGCGGTGCCCAAAGGTTTATACATAATTTTTTAAAAACAATTTTTTCATATATATTGATATAGTGATATACAAACAAATATAATTCTAAAAAATCACATTTACACAATATATTAAAAACAACTTCAAATATATAAAAAAAAATTTTAAAAATAAAATCTACACCCTCTTCTTCTTTCAATGTACAAGAATGGGGAGGGAAAGGGAGGGAGGGAGGAGGAAGCAGAGAGAGGATGGTAGCGGTGGTATTAATTTTTAAAAAATATTTTAAAAATTTTTAAACTTTAAAAATATCACAAAATATATTCTAAAAGCACCACTAAAAATATTTAGAGTAACATTTTTTTATATACATTATTATAATAAAATATTTTAAAAACATCCCAAAAAACAACTCCTCCAAACAAAGCAAATTTGTCTTTATAATTAGATAATATTGCACTCACCATCTTTGTAGTTTTTTTATTTGTGTCTTTATCCCACTAAGTCAACATAATTAAAAACAAAAAAAATTAACCAATACCACCCGTCACACTTGATCAAAACCAGCCAATAAAAACTCAACTTTTCACACTCGATCATTTTCCTGTCTTTTTTTTTTATTTCATCGAAACCCACTGTTAAAGAATCCTTTCTATCAACGGAAAAGTAATTAAAGAATAACAAAATCATTACTACTATTATCTTAGACAGCAACGGCATGACCTTTCTATTGAATTGGACGTTGGGTTGCCGACTGGAATTACACTCACACTCAATAAACTGGCATCCTAACATTCCTGGTCTTCATAGCATTATTATTATTTTTATTATTTACAATTTTTGTTTTAAGGAAAAAAAGTTTGGGTGGATTTAGCTCGTATCATCGCCACGGATCAAAACATGCTTTCGAGATCATATGTCACTCATAGAGATTCTTAGAACGAAATTTGACCACGTGACCTTTTATTAAAAAAAAAAATGTTCCGTTCTTGTTAATTAAATCAACTTTTGTGCTGGTATTATTTGAGCATATGGCTCAAGGGAATATGGTACTATTGTATACTTAATTTGGATGATGTGAAATGTTATCTAGACTTAATTCTAGGCACCACCAAACAGCGGATTAGTAAGCTGGAATGATTATGAACCTCGACAAGCTTTAGTCGGCTTCACCCAAACTAAGGCCCACTTGTTTCAATAAACAGTCGGATAGCATATTCAACAGAGAATGTCTGTGTTGGACTTCTTGGGCCCCCGTAGGATGTAACTTGTAACTCCCTGTTTATTGGACCCCTAACTGCTCTAAATGGACAGTTAGAGAGAGCAATTAGACACACACATAAATTACAAAATTTTTAGTTAAATAACTTCATTATCAGTTCTTGAATTTTCATATCTCTGAAAGAACTTTTTTCGATTCATAGGGAAATTTAAAGCCTTGCAAGACCTTTTTTTTTGGAGTGACAAGTGTTTTGGATAGAAGATCATTTTAAATATTATTGAAAAAAACTATTGTAATATTTTTTTTATGACATGATATGTGTAAAATAAAAATGGTAATAAAATTAATTAAAAATTTTATACAATCAAATAATTTTTGGAGAAAATATCAATTTTAACTGAACATGACCCGAATCCGCTTTGCCGATTGGCTTCTCTTTTTTTTTTTCAGTTAGCGTTTAGCTTCAAAAGATATACTCATCACCATCATCATCCAGCCTTTGGACACCAAAAGTCGCAATCTTGAAATTGAGTGAATAAGTTACTGAAGAAACACGGTACAGCAGAAGCCCGACTAGCTTGAACCATTGGAACATATAAAAATTCATAAGACAATTTGACATTCAAAGCTTCCAATTGCAGACAAGAAAGAAAAAGCCACCAACCCTTTCTCCTTGAGGGCTTGCTTTCAAGCTTACCAGCGATGCAAAGTCACTTCACAGCTCAACAATCATGTTGCAGACTTTTAACGAGAGAACCCAGGATGACCGCAAACTAGCTCCCTAAAAACCTCGACTCCGATCCTTTTCTGACCTTCAGGATGCATTAAAGGACTGCCCTTTCATTCGCCCTCCTGATGCATACATTCATCTGCATAAATCAAGAAATGAGCAAAACGAAGACCTGTTTTCAACATCTGTTTGCTATATATTCATGCCAACAAACCTGGTTTTTGAGCTCCCAAGGGTAAGCTCAAGATCATCTGAACCACAATCTTCATGGATCCTCTCTCCTTCCCATGGCTTCACCAGACCACCTTTAATGCTTCTAAATGCAAACTCATCGGAAATTACTTCAGCCATGGGAACATCAGAGCCTGCAGGTATGGCGGGCGAGCAGGTCCCACTTTGCCCTGGAGTGCACATGCGAGAGCCACTGTGTCTTAGGGACTCGAATTTGAAGGCAAATGGATTGGCGGAGACAAGGCTGAATGTAGGTGAAGTTGGTCCGCCTTGTGGAATTTGCATTCCAGCAAACCATTCTGAATCAGGAGGGGCCTGACGTCCAGGACTGGGAGGTGTAGATAACGGAAGGAAGGAGCTGTGAGAGCCCCAGCTAGCACGAGCAGAGGAATCATCCCAGTCCGTCTTCAATCGCGGAGTCCGGGCAGTAGGGGAGCTCAGGGGAGGGGTAACAGGTGCACTTATGGACCCACCATGGTAAAGGAGTTGGAATTTGGTGGAGGATGTCGAGGAGGAGGAAGACGAGAGGTTCTTAAGCCATGGGATGAGGGAATTTCCGTCACCATTGATATTTGCAGCATATGGGGAAGAAGCTGGACTTGGGAAGGAAGAAGAAGCAGGGCTTGGGTTGTATGACGTTCCTGGGCTTGGGTGATAAGATGAACACGGGCTTGCTGATGTTGATCCACCCATGATATCCATTCTGTCCACTGGCTTGCATCCCTGTAAATTAGAAAAATGGTCACTGGAAGGCTATGTGAGTGCAAAAGGATTTCAAATAAAGAATTAAATTCAATCACCCATATTTTTATTCATCTAACTTACAAAACCTAGGAGAAAGCTTTTGGTGTCCTGTTAGTATCTCTCGACATTACTGTTTTTCCCTTCATCATATCATAGTAACAGAACAAAATGACACACTACCTAATCTTGATCTCTTTGCCACTATACTGTAGACACAATGAGCAGCTGACATTTTATCCAGCATTATAGGAACATAATTGATATTATGCCACATGCATCGTATTGAACTCCCCTAGTCTCTCCTGTACGATAAGCATTACACTTCTTTGATACCCTATTTTCGATATTTTACTTTTAGAACACAGTTCAATATGAAGTGACTGATGCATTTTCAAACTCTCTTTAAGACACCGTCTTCCACTTTCTTTGTTCACTCGGCAAGATTTATGATATCCAAGCATTAATAAAACAGGTTTTACCATCCAGCTGATCCAACTTGTATGGTCTATCACAGCACAATAACTGTCCTTAGCTAAAGTGAAATATGTCAAGGAAAGCCTTTACCAAAGGTATATATTTCCTGCAGCTGCATATGGAGCGCTGGTAAACATATTCTACCCTATTTTCTGCACCAAGTGTTTACCCTATTTGCAAGTGTATCAAGATCAAGAACAAGCGGTTTTTTGACTTTTTGTCTCAAATGCAGGTAAACTTCATTGTGAAATTGCACCAATCTTTGTCTTATTAACTTCAATCACAACAAATTTCTTTAACCTTTTTGACTGCCCATTCAGACTAGAATGATCAGTTCAGCTGAATTATTAGTAAGAGAGCCAATTGCAATGCTAGGAGGTCCTCAGATTTCAAAGCATACATACAAATTTATTAAACAGTGTCTCACATTCCAACCAACCTTCCCACCAACCCCCCAAAAAGGCCTTGTGGAGAAACCAATAGGAAAGGATTCTAGAACTTGTTGATTTTTTGTATTTATGTGTAACCTAATATTACGTACGACTACCATCTTCACTGTTTCTGAATCCTAGTTATTGTACTTGTGCCATATTACAATTGTGAAAAGAATCAGTACAATTCCCACAAAAACAGTAAGAACCGAAAATAATGCAACTGTCCTCGAAAGCAAGTATCGTACTGGCAACTTCGAGTCCTTCACGAGAACAGCAAGAGATCTAAAGCAAGAAGCCCAATTTAATACTACTTTTAGCAACTACTGGAAAAGGGCTTCTGTCGCAAGTGAAGAAAGTAAAGACTAGTACACTACCACCAGAAAAAGATGTTTGAACCAAATCCACCAAAGGTTAAAAGAGAATGAGATGAGATGAGAGAGAGCCTCAAAAGCACATTATTGCCAGACCTCCTTGTGACCCCTGAGAGGCCCACAGCTTCATGGGAATCCCCAGGCTAAATTTTAGCAAAACTAAAGGGACATATATTCAAAAGAAGTAATAATGCTACACCCTATCAACTAGCACTTGCTAACTGATAAAACAAAGATAAGAGATTTAGTTTAACAAAAGTTACTAAAATAAAGGGTTAAAGATTTGGATTTTTGAGCTCAGAAAGAATATGGATTTTCTAAAAAGAAAAAACCATGTTGGGAATCTTTGAAACTTACTGGTCAACAACAAACAAAAGCAACAGAGATGGTGTAATGTCTGTCTGCTAAGCAGCTGTGGCGCCCAGTTCTTACAGTGCAGACAGGATC